CAGGTACCTGTGGAGGCTCCCTTGAGCAGCCCTCTTTATTTATTATCTAAAGAACCCAATAGGTTACACCAAGACTTCCCCCACCTCTGCAATCAGAGTCCATCACCATAGAAACCCACCAGCCACAGCCTGGGGTGGGGATGGGAAAGGGGAGCTTCGAAGGGACACAGTGCATGGGGTTCAGGTGACACCCAGACCCTCATGCACATTGACAGGTACAGAAGCTCCTATACCATCCCCTAGGCCTGGGCAACAGGGATTGGCCACACATTCTGACCTTGTCATATACCCAGGGCAGTGAACCCCCGGTACTGCTCTCACTCTCACTTGCTGGGCCACCAAGTGCTGCCATTCCCATAGACACTGCACAGGAAATCTGGAGTCTAAGCTCCACCTTTGAAGGGTCATCTTGCTGCTTCTTTGGGAAGATCGGCAGCAGGTCCTGGGAGCTGGTAAGCATGTGCGCAGGGTGCATTTGCAGGGCATCCTTGGAGCTTCTGTGTGTGTGTGTGTGTTGCTTAATATTCACATTTCCATGTATTGACAGTCTTGAAAGCTTATTTTTACTTTATTATATTCAGATGAATGGTGGTATTGTTTTACTTTTTTTAAAAAAAGAATGTCACACAGGATTTTTTGTTATTACTGTTAAGTAGCATTTTTTTCCTTTGCAGTCATAGTTGTGATTAGTGCATTGAGTGAGGTACAGGAAATACCCACTAGAACTCTGAAGTTTTATTCCTTCCATTGTTGTCTCTGCTATTTTAGGATAAGGACTGTGTGTGTGTGTGTGTGTGTGTGTGTGTGTGTGTGTGTGCACGCATGCATGTGCGTGCGTGCGTGCGTGTGTTTTCAGGGATTGAATCAGTCACCCCAGATTTTGGCCAGGCTCCATGATCTCTCTGGTCCCTACTCGGCAACTGGCTTCTAGACAGATGCCAGCAATATAGTATTGATGATAATGTGACACTATGGTGCAGACAAGAGGACTCCCCAGGGGACTCAGCGTAGAGAGAGGCCAGGGTGAGGTCAGAGGCTCTCAGTGGCTGTCACTGAGTCCATCCATGTAGACCTGTGAACCTGAACCTCTCATCTCCTCTGCCTTGTCCTTCTCAGTGCCTACCACACCCTTTCTCCTTCCCTAGCCACTAACACTTCCTACGAGGCAGGTAGGGTGATTTGGGGGCTGGCCTCCTTTTGGAGCAGCCCTACCTTTGTCTTGCACTCCCCAGCACAGTAGTGGGTGTACACGGTTGGTGCACATATGCACAGACACACACACTCATTTGTGCTCGTGGTTGCATGTGTACCTCCCCCAGCTGGGCGGGTGCTTACTCTGCGCCGGCGCACACGCATCGCATCCGCACTCTTGGAGGGATCTGCTGAGCTCCTCTGGGGGCTTCTCCCTCCTTGAATCCCCCCTCCCTGCAGGAGCCTCCACCTGTTCTCTGGCACATGTGGGCTGGCCATCAGTGAATCATTTATCTTGTCTTACAACTGTCCTCTTGCCCCTGTGCCACAAGTGGGTAGGGGCTTAGCGCTGTCACTGTGGGGCTTTGTTGTCTCTCTGGCCCCAGAGCACGGCTTCTCCACTCTCCCCATCCTGATCCTGTATTCAGCCTGACCTCCAAGCAAAGAAGCCTCCCTCTGTTGACCTGGGCTCATCTCCTCTCCTTCCCCCTCCCCTTCCTGGCACACTCCCCAGAGAATGGGACTGCTATGGAGGGAGGCAGGGGTGGCCTGCACACAGGCGCACAGCCTACCTTCTCTGCCATTTCTCAGCAGTGCATCTTGTACCTGTCTCTCATCCTTTGTACTCATTTTTCCTCTCCTCTCCCTATCCTCACTACAGAGTGAGTCTCTGTTTCTGTATTTCTCCTTCTTGGTTATCTAGTCTTCCAACAGCTGTCTTTGTCTCCTGTTCCTGGCCCAAGTCCTGCTTCTCAGCCTTCCCTGCTCCCTCTTGCCTCTTTCTCACTCTGTCTGTCACCCTTGGCAGGCTGGGCCTTAACTCCATCTGTGGAACACTTACCCCCCTCCCTTGCCCTCCATAGAGCTGATGGGGGGTCAGGGCCTGCTGAGCTAACAACCTTAGTTCTCTCTATAATTGTCTGAGGAATGTTGAGAAATCAGAGACCCAGCAGCAGTGGGAAGGGAGGCAGGAGAGCCCCCTCCCAGCTGTCAAAGGCTTTTCAACCTTCTGGCTCCTTCCTGCCTGTCTCTGAGTGCCCAGAGCAAGACGGATGACAAATACTAGGAGATATAAAAAGAAATTGTATGTTAGGCTGTTTAGGGTGGGGCCAGGATGGGTCACTTGCAAGGGTGACACAATATCCCCAAACCCCTGGTCCCCACTTTGCATGGAAGCCAAACTCCATTCTGGGATCCTAGATTTGGAGGACAAATGAAAGAAGTGGCTTGGCAGAAATCATCAGTTCAACAAACAGAACATCAAAGCATCCTCCTAGACAGGAGGGTCCTTCTTTGAGCTTCTCTTGCTCCAGTTCCCTCCCCTCCCCCCTTAGACCAGGGCTCTGAGCTCCCAAGGCTGTTGTTTGATCGCTTGCTCTCTGATCTGAGTCTCCTACTGCTTTCTACAGACCTTGAAGTCAAGGCCAAGGCTGCCTGGGGCTGGTCCTCCTAACATTGGCTTTGTCGGGGGAGGTGGTGGTTGAAACAAACCCACTGTTCTCCTTCATTCTGGGCCCCAGCTCTGCTCTTGCAGATTGGGAACTGACATTCATGTTGTACTTCCTAATATCCAAGTCATTCCCTTGGCCTGCAGGCCAGCCATGTTGACCCACTCCGGTGCTCTGCCAACCTAGCTTTGGAAGGCAGGGAGTCTGAAATCTTCAAGCCAACTGACTGTTACACTCAGATCACCCCTTATACGAAACTGATATATAGCTCCTGGCTGCCTCCTGATGGAGTTCAACTGCCTTAGCATAGCATTCCAAGCCTCTTGACCTACCTTTTAGGTGTGCTAGTTGTTTTAAAAAATATTTTATTTATTATTTTTATTTTATGTGAATGAGTGTATTGCCTGCATGTGTGTAAGTGCACCCATGTTGTGCAATGCCCGCAGAGGTTAGAAGAAGGTGTCAGATTCCCCTGGAACTGGAGTTACAGATGGTTGTTAGCCACCTTGTGGGTGCCGGGAATCAAACCCGGGTCCTCTGCAAGAGCAGTCAGTGCTCTTAACCACTGAGCCATCTCTCCAGCCAAGTGTGCTAATTTTTAAAATTTTCATTTGTTATACGTGTGTGTGCATGTGTGTGTCAGGACACTCATGTGGAGGTCAGAGAACAAGTGGGAATTAGTTCTCTCCTTCCACTATGTGGGTTCCAGAGATCAAACTCTTGTCACTAGGCTTGGCAGCAAACATCTTTACCCACTGAGCCATCTCACCAGTCTCACTTTTTGGAGGGTGGGTTTCTAGATGAGGCTCTCTTCTCCACTTTGATAAGGTCCTGGTTGGATGGATTTGTTGAGAGCATCTGGATTGGAGCTCAAGCCTCCTGGATCAGTGAACCCAGCAACACTGGCTCTCCCCTTGTCTACATGTCATTCTTTCATCATCCTTGCCTCTTTCATGCTGTTTATTGTGTAAATCAAAGTGGCCTATTTTCTCAGGGGTCTGTTTCCTCTCCTAGTGCTTGTCAGTCTCTGGGGCCCACTGTGTTCAGGGGGACACATATTTGGCATGACCTGGACTTGAGGTGGCTGCATCTAGCAATTGACTCTGAAGACTCCAAAAAAGAACTAGATTCTGGTATTTCCAGACATAAAAGGTGTCAGAAACTCTGTCTTGGGAAATGTCCCAGAGCTTTCCATGACCCCGGCCCTGCCCTGGCCTGAAGCATCTGGAAGTGGGGAGGTCATCACTCCTCTATAGTCCCCCAGGGGCAGAAGAGCAGCAAACAGGTGCTTCCTTCTCTTCCTCTCCCAATTCATGAACACAGGCTTCACTACTCATCCTTCTTCCTTTTCCTGAGCCTATCTTAGGCCCATTTCCTCCTTTCCTATCCCACTTCCCAAGCCCACTGTCAACTTGTAGATACAAACAGTTCTCAGTTACTTCTGGGAGTCAAAGCGATGAGAATGCAAAAAATCCCCCCCTTTTCCTCTTTTTCTTTCTTTCTTTCTTTCTTTCTTTCTTTCTTTCTTTCTTTCTTTCTTTCTTTCTTTCTTTCTTTCCTCTCTCTCTCTCTCTCTCTCTCTCTCTCTCTCTCTCTCTCTCTCTCTTTCGAGACAGGGTCTCACTATTAGTCCTGGCTGGACTCACTATGTAGAACAGGCTAGCCTCTGAGTGCTGGGTTCAAAAGGTGTGTGCCGCCATGCCCAGTTACATTTCTTTTTTACACACATGTATACACATGCTTGTACATGCACACAGAGCTAGGAGACACAGAAATTCATCTCCACAGGTACACATAGAAGGCATACACACAACATGCACACACATGTGTGCACACACATACAGCTAGTAGATCCATGAATCCATTCCTCTAGACACACACCAACACTTATGAATGCATTCCTTTCATGAAGGACACCCACATATTTATGCATGCACACACATAGCCACATAAATACTCCCCACATGCAAACCCACATCCACACACATGCCCATGACACCTGCTCAGAGGCACATCAAGACATACACGGGGATATATGTACAGAGTGACTGGTGGTACCCACAGGGGAGTTAATTGGGACAACAAGTTGGTGCTGGGGAGGCAGCTGGCAGGAAGACACAGACCAAGAGCAAGGGTAATGAAATACAACCTGGAGGCCTAGATAAGGCTGTCTCTTCCAAGTTCCTTCATCCAAGGTGGAGGTGAGTGTCCAAGGAAGGGTGTGGACGAAGGATGTGTTAGCTGGCCAGCTGGGGGCGGGGCTGAGGGCGGGGCCAAGATCTCTTGGCTCTCTGTGATGTAAGTCACTAACGTATGTCCACTCTATCTCCCCTCCTCCATCTTCCCTTTCCTCCTCCCCAGCCCAGTGCCCCCCCCCACAGCAGCTACTGCTCTAAGCCAACCACCAGCTCCCTTCCCTTCTACCGGAGGGTGAGTGGAGTCCGGCCGGTTGTGCGGCGCCGAGCCGCGGCGCTGCCAGGAAGATGGTCCTGGAGCTACGGTTCGTGTGGCCTCTACTCTTCTGCAGTCCCTGCCTGCTCATCCAGATCCCCGACGAATGTGAGTAGCTGCTCTGCTGGGCCCTTTATCTTCTGCCTCCTCACTTTCTCCCTGTTCGTGGTCCTCACCCCTCTTTTCTCTTCCTGGGCACAGGGCGGGCAAGAGGTACCCAGGACGCTGTTTACTTTTAGAGTGGCAGGATAGAAAATATGGGTGTGTCAGCACCACGGACAGGGATATGGTTCCAGCACCACGGACAGCGGATAGTGTACAAACCCTGCCTTTTGGGGCCTGTCTGCTACACCTCCTTTAGCATGCCCATCCCTTCCTAGCCCACTCTCCCCTCTGCTTCCATTCCCCCTAAACATACCCCAGGGATGTGGCAGCCAGGATAATGGAAGTCTTACCCCCATCTTGGGCCCTAGGTAGACAGCTCTTTTTTTACTGAGAAAGGAAAAGACACCTTAAAAATACTAGGTCCTGGCCCAACAGCCTTCTGGATCCTTTTTGATATGTAATCATTTGGTCGTAATGAGGAGGGGCTGGAGCACGTGTCTGTGATGTGTGGGAACGTTACAGGTAGGTGTGTAAGTATTGCAGTGTAGAGTTGGGCCTAAGCTTGTGAGTTGGATTGTGCATTTATGTGTGATTTGTTTGTTTATACTAACTATATGGCTGTTTGTGAGTATCATTTTGATTTCCTCTATGGGTTTGTGAGTTGCTCTATTTAGTGGTCAGGTTTGTGATGCTGTGGAGGTATTTGACTATAACATTTGACTGTGGTAGACTGTGTGTGTGAGCTGAATGTGAATGCATGTTTGCATATGGCAACATTTTTACTCTGGTGGGCTTTCCTCATGAATTTCAGTAAGAATGATAAGCATACTGTTCCAAGTATTTGTCATCCCTTAGGAAGGGAGCGTTTCACAGAATATCATATGTGATGGTGTTTGTACATCCTGAGCTACCAGAGTCCAATCTCTGTCCACTCTGCCACCTTTGTCTCTGAGCCTGGGCATAGAGACTAGCTGGGGAGCAGGGGTGGGGAAGACTGTGCCAGGAATTGTCCAGAGGCCAAGAGAGGTCTGTGGGCTTGGGGGCACCTGGTGTCAAGGTACAGCATGGATTTGGAAAATGTGAAGAAAGGCTGGAGGCATGGAGGTTGGGGCTTTCCCCTTAGACACACACATAGAGGTTCCCACAGCCACACCCATGTGGAACATCCACTGCTGCAGATGCTTAGGGCCACACAACTGTGACTGGATAGATGAGCCAGACACTTGTTCCAATCAGGCACAGAGAAGTGAAAAGAACAGGACACACCAACGGTGTGTTACACGAGTGAGATTTTTACACATAAAGCAGTCGTGTACACAGGCATAAAGAAACAGTTGTCTACACAGACATAGGGGCTATACAGCACAACATCATATGCTGAGATGTAAACACACACAAGCATATCTGCATTGTGTTCCAGTAAGGTCCAGCCATGTACACATACAGCCGCAGACACCACATATGTACATTCCAGGACATCCATGTATGCACCAGACTCACTTTTACATATTCATAGACATGCAGTGGTCCTCCTTCCCTCTGCCTTTCAGCTGCTATTCAAGGTCTGCCTCCTGGTCAGAAATGCCACGGTCTAATGCTGGGTATCAGCCTTCTCTTCTGCCAGATGGGCTGGGCCATCTTGCCTGGGTGTGTCTCTGTGTGATGTGGGCAGAAAGAATTTAGAAAAAAACAGCAGCAAGGACAGAGAACTAGGCCAGTGTCCACAGCAGCTCTGAAGTTGTACTGGCTCTGATAGGATGCGGCATGCAGTTCACTTTTTCCCTGTTGAGACCTGGCCTCTATCTCTCCTTCCCCAGCCTCTTCAGGACCCTTTGTCTCTCTTCTTGTTCCTTCCACTGAGTTGATTCCCCCCACCCCCATTCTGTCATTTCTGTTACTCTTGCTCTCAAGCCTGCCCCTCCTCAGCTCAGGAACCTCTGCAGTATCCCTAGGGAACCCCTTCCTCTTTTGGGAGGCTTATACTTAAGTCTTCTGCAGAGACAAAGCTTTCACTGACCCACTGTTCCCATGTCCCCCCCTTCCCTCCCTCCTGCTATTGCTCAGTTGAGTCCCGGGGTTCAGGCTGTTGCCCTGGCCTCTGCCCCAGGGAGCGTGGTGGTCTCCTGGGAGGAAGGAAGGAGAGAGAAGGAGGGCTGGTGCCGGCCCTGAGGGCTGTGAAGACTCAGATTCTAGCAAGGGCCTTTGGGAGGGCTTGGAGGAGGAGGGGCACTGGCCTCTGAAGGCTGGGCTTGAGTAATTGAAAACACTGAGCTGCGCTAATTGGATTAGGAGGGAAGTGGGCTGGAGCAGGGGAGGACTCCAGTTGCTGGGCTGTCTGCCTCTAAACCTTCCAAGGCATTCTGAGAGGAGTAGAAGTTAGTTCTGTGGGCCCTACCCAGCTTTGCCAGGAGCTGTAAGGACACTCTTTGCGAAAGGCAGACGTTCTTTCTCCTCCCTGAGCCTACAAACCCTGTGGATCTGTCTAGTGGAGCCACTATCCCTGAGCCTTGCCCGTTCCAGGGACTCTGTCTTGTCTCCCTGAGCTTGACCTGCTACTACTCAGCTCAGCATGTTTCCCCTTACCCCTCCACCATAACCTCTCCACTTCTCTTCCCCATGGGGGTCTACTGGAGCTTGAGTCTTCTTCCACCATCAGGCTGTCTTGGGACTGCTCTCTGCATTTCTCTCCCTCTCTCCCTTCTCTCCCTTGCTGCCTGGATTCTCAGATGAAGGACACCATGGTAAGTTGGAAGAGGAGTGGGAGTGTATACCTGAAGGTGGAGGAAGGAGGGGTCTTGGGCTGAGCCAGCAAACCCTTGTTCTGCGTATTCGGGGTACTCAGCTCTCCTTGAGTGCTGTAAGTGCTTGTGGTTGGAGCCTTTTCTGCTCTTGGGTCAGTCCTTTACTTCAGTCTAGAGGGTCCTCTTGGCCTTTTCCTCTCTCTCACCTGTTTGACATCTTTGCCCTATCTCTGCTTCTGCTAGCATTTCTGCCACTGTCACTGTTTGTATCTCTTGCTGCGCTCTCTGCCCCTCTTCCTTCCCCCTTACCCTTTTTGCTTTCTGTGTTTTTCACTTCTTTCTGTTATCTCTGTCTCCCATCTAAGTACTAACCAGGCCTGATTAGCTGAGGAGACCAGGCACATGCAAAGTCATGTGACCTTACACTCTCTATCTCTGTCTCTCTGTCTCTCTCTCCCTTCTCTGCTCCCCTCTCTGACTTCTGTTGTTGTCTTCTCTCTGTCTCTGATTCATTCTGCTTGTGTCTCTTAGCCCCTTGTCCCCCTGTCCCCACTGGCTATGAGGCTCCTAAGGGTGCTGTTCTCCTCAGGATGAGACAGGGACTGAGGCCATGATATCAGTCAGATGTAATTTCTTCCCACCATTTTCCTTATCCTGTCTCTAGTGATGGAACCACCTGTCATCACAGAACAGTCTGCACGGCGCCTGGTTGTCTTCCCAACAGATGACATAAGCCTCAAGTGTGAGGCCAGAGGCAGACCACAAGTGGAGTGAGTGACCCCCACCCTCTGAGCCTGTGTTGCTGACCTTGGACCTCAGCCTCCAACCCTCAGGCCTCTCTGAGTCATCTATCTTCTGAGTCTAGAAGCCTCAGACAGATCTGGCTCTTAACCCTTTGTCCCTGTGCACCCTGGCTTCATGAACCCTTCCCACTATCCTGTTGAAGCCCCTGTCCTTGATGTCTCTCACCTATGCTCTGCTCACAGGTTCCGCTGGACGAAGGATGGCATCCACTTCAAGCCCAAGGAAGAATTAGGTGTAGTGGTACACGAGGCACCACACTCTGGCTCCTTCACCATCGAAGGCAACAATAGCTTTGCCCAGAGATTCCAGGGCATCTACCGCTGCTATGCCAGCAATAAGCTGGGCACTGCCATGTCCCACGAGATCCAGCTCATGGCTGAGGGTGCGAGGCACAGTGTGGGCCAGGGAGGGCCTGGCGTACCTGAGAGGGAGGCCATTAGGTGCCCAGAGCTGGGTGGAGCGTCTGGCTGCCACTTTCACCTCAAAGTGGTTTTGTGGTGACTGAGGTGCCTGCGTGTCCCAGAAGCCCTCAGCCTGCACTCGCTGCCCCATTGCCCCTTCTTTTCTCTAGCAGTTTCCCCCATCCTCACCCTGTCTCTTTCTCCACTGACCTTCTGGTTACCTCTTTTCCCTTTCCTCCTCTCAGTCTTTCTCAGTGGATTGCTGCTGGTGGGCTGGGGGCCATGGACTGGCTGAATGGGTGGGTGACTGCCCCAGGGCCTACTTTGCTGTTCTGTCTGCCCACCTGTCTCTCTCTGAGTTGTTCCCTGGTTTGAGCTGTTTCTGCCTTGGTTCCCCCTCTACTTCTCGGGTCATCTCTGTTCATCTTTGCCATTTATCTTCCCTCGGCTGGCTTTCCCACTTTGGTCTCTGTTGCCTTCCACTCCCTCTCCATCTCTGACTTGGCTTCTCTAAGCCTCCCCTTCCTGCTCTAGGGCTCTGTCTTTATCTGTGTCGCCCTTTCCCTGGGGTTTTCCCTCTGCACTCCATCCTCCCTGAGTTTTCTCCCTCCTGTGTGCTCTCCTCTCCCTTCCCTGCCCCTCCAGTTACCTTGGGAACCGTTGCCATGGTTCCTGTGTCAAGATGATGGAAGGGTCTGTGACTCTAGCATCCCTCCACAGCTCCCCTCCCCCATCGCTGCACCTCAGCCTCCCCCAGCCAGTTCTTGTCCTTTCTTCAGGGTGGGTGGGAGGGCTGAGAATTGTGGAGGATTAACTCTTTGTGGTGCCCTGGCTTCCTCCTCACCGTCTCCCTGTCATGGAGTGCCCATCTCTGTTGTGAGCCCTAGAAGCACCTAGAGTTTCTGCCTCCCTTTATGTGAACTTCCTTGTAGCCCTTTCACACCCTTGTCTATCATTGGGACAGCTCTCCTTCCTCCTTCTTCTCTCTTCCTGTCTTGACCAGGAAGAGAGTACTAGCCTCTCTGTTCCTTCCAGGTGCCCCGAAGTGGCCAAAGGAGACGGTAAAACCTGTGGAGGTAGAGGAAGGGGAGTCAGTGGTTCTGCCTTGCAACCCTCCACCCAGTGCAGCCCCGCTTAGGATCTACTGGATGAACAGCAGTGGGTTCTGGGGGGAGCTGATACCTAGGGCTGGGGCACTGGGGGTTCATCTCTTACAGGTTTTCACCTTCACCTTCTTGTTCCCTCTGCAGAGATTTTGCATATCAAACAAGATGAGCGGGTGACTATGGGCCAGAATGGAGACCTGTACTTTGCCAATGTGCTCACCTCAGACAACCACTCAGACTACATCTGCAATGCTCACTTCCCAGGCACCCGTACCATCATTCAAAAGGAACCCATTGACCTCCGGGTCAAGGCCAGTGAGTTCCAAAAGCTTTGACTATCCCCTCCCACTGTTTGCTCTACTTCAGGCCTAGCCCACCAGGGAAGGATCACATAACCTCAGACCTTCTCAAAGGCAACTTGGTTCTCACCTCCATTCTCTGAGACCCCCTTCCCAGGTGGTGGAAGTAGAGAGACTAGCCTTGAATTTACCAAGATCCATTTGTCCCTGCCTCCCAAATGCTGAGATTAAAGGTGTGTGCCATCACATCCAGCTTTCGGGGACAGGATCTCGTGTGTCCCAGGCTAGCCTCAAACTTACTATGTAGCCAAGGCTGATGTTGAACTCTGGCTTACCTCCCAAGTACTGGGATTACAGATGTGCACTACCACACCCTGATTAGCGCATACTCTTTTTTTCTTTTTTTTCAATAGTTTTATGAAACAGGGTCTCCCTACAGCCCCAGCTGGCCTGGAACTCACTATGTAGATCAGACTGGCCTTGACCTCACAGAGATCCGCCTGCCTCTGCCTCCCCAGCCCTCGGCCCCAAGGCTTCCCCCCCCCCCCCCAGCTGCCCGGGACCCCATTATGAAGATCAGCCTGCCCTTGACCTCACAGAGATCCGCCTGCCTCTGCCTCCCCAGCCCTCGGCCCCAAGGCTTCCCCCCCCCCCCCCAGCTGCCCGGGACCCCATTATGAAGATCAGCCTGCCCTTGACCTCACAGAGATCCGCCTGCCTCTGCCTCCCCAGTGCTGGGACTAAAGGCTTGCGCCACCACACCCAGCCCTCACACTTTTTTAAAAATAGTCTCATTCTGTGGCACCGACTGGCCTTGAACTCTTGATCCTTCTGCCTCAGACTCCTGAATGAATGCTGAGATTACAGGTGTGGCCACCACACTCTTCTGGGCATCCTTTTTTTTTTCTAAAACCCAAAGCCTCATAAATGCTACGCAAGATCCCCACCACTGAGTTATACCTCAGCCACTTTTTTTTAAACATAGGAACAAGCAGAGGCCTAGGGGCTCCCTGGGGTGTCCAGAGTCACCCAAGTATGGTGACTTACTCACTTTCTTCTGGTAGCCAACAGCATGATTGACCGGAAGCCACGCCTGCTCTTCCCCACCAACTCCAGCAGTCATCTGATAGCCTTACAGGGGCAGCCATTGATCCTGGAGTGCATTGCTGAGGGCTTGTGAGTGTGCGCTTCTATGGTAGGGGAGGACTGGAGCTGGGTGGTCCCAGCAGGCTCAAACCTCTGAGCTAAGTGGCCCTGTGTTCTCTCCTCTTCTCCTTGGGCACTGTGACCCTGGGCAGTCCCACACCCACCATCAAGTGGCTGCACCCCAGCAACCCTATGCCAGCAGACCGTGTCACCCACCAAAACCACAACAAGACCCTGCAGCTGCTCAGTGTGGGTGAAGAAGATGATGGCGAGTATACCTGCCTGGCCGAGAATTCACTGGGCAGTGCCCGGCATGCCTACTATGTCACCGTGGAGGGTACGGGCCTGGCACAACTTCCCCCAGCTTTCTTAGGCTTCTCAGAATGGCCTTCAGGCTTAGTGTTCTGCAGTGTCTACTGTCATGGGCGAGGACAGGGCCTGCATCAAGGACCAGAGCAGGCTTAGGACTCAGGTGGTCCTCTCCTTCTCCTTAGCTGCCCCATACTGGCTGCAGAAGCCCCAGAGCCGTTTATATGGACCAGGAGAGACTGCCCGCCTGGACTGCCAAGTCCAGGGCAGGCCCCAGCCAGAGGTCACCTGGAGAATCAACGGGGTACCTATAGAGAGTAAGCAGGGCCTCAGCAGTGGTGGGATGTGTGTGGAACCCGAAGAAACATTGAAGGAGGAAGAGGAGGGTAAGAAGGGGCCTGAGCACAGCTCAGTGCACTAACCTGGGCCCGGGGGCCCTGCCTGTTGCACACAGAGGTGAACAAGGACCAGAAGTATCGGATTGAGCAGGGATCCCTGATCCTTAGTAATGTGCAGCCCAGCGACACAATGGTGACCCAGTGTGAGGCCCGCAACCGGCATGGGCTCCTGCTGGCCAACGCCTACATCTATGTTGTCCGTGAGTGCAGTACCAGCAGGTTGTCTCACCTTTCTGCCTTCCCTCCCAACCATCCATCTACCTTGCCTCATAACCCTCAGTCTGTCCTCCAACCCACCAGAACTACTCAGCCGGGAGCTGGGGGAATCCACAGCATTTTAGGGCTGTCTTACTCCTTGCCGAGACCTTTGCCTCCATGTTTTCCATCCCCACAACAGTCGGGGGTGGTGATATAGTTAGGGGAAAGTCTTGCCACCATGTCTGAACAGAGGTACACCCTGGACAAGATGTGCTCGAGGACAATCTGATGGTTTGGAGACTCAGGGAGATTAGGGGATGGTCAGGGAAGACTTTGGGGAAGACTCTGACTGCTCTTGGATGTGGCAATAATTGGAATAACGTTAGTGGATGGAGCATATCCAAGGCTAAGGGGACTGTGCATCAAAGGCTGAGAGGGACAGCTTGAAATGAGGAAGTCAATGAGCAGGGCTCCCAGGGGGCCTGTGTGTGCCCACTGAGGAGTCATTGGCTTCTCTAACATTTATGGTCACCAGTCCTGCCCTGTCTCCTGAGACTGTTCTCCCCCTAGAGCTGCCGGCGAGGATCCTGACAAGAGACAATCAGACATACATGGCAGTTGAGGGCAGCACCGCCTACTTGCTGTGCAAGGCCTTTGGAGCCCCTGTGCCCAGTGTCCAGTGGTGAGTGCCCAGGCTGTGGGGGCTGCTAAGCCATCTTCCAGATCAAAGAACCCAAAAGGGAAGGGAACTCAGGCCAGTCAGTCTAAGCCAGGTCCCCTGCTTACCCTAGGCTGGATGAGGAAGGTAGCACTGTGCTTCAGGATGAACGATTTTTCCCCTATGCCAATGGGACCCTGGGCATCCGAGATCTCCAGGCCAATGACACTGGACGCTACTTCTGCCAGGCTGCCAATGACCAGAACAATGTGACCATTGTGGCTAACCTACAGGTTAAAGGTCAGATGCTGCCCACATGTGACTATCAAACCCCCTGGGAGGTAGGGTCAGGGTCTGTGGAGAACATCAAAGTGACTCTCCCTTCCCTTCAATCCTCTCAGAAGCAACCCAGATCACACAGGGGCCCCGGAGTGCAATTGAGAAGAAAGGTGCAAGGGTGACGTTCACGTGCCAGGCCTTCTTTGACCCCTCTTTGCAGGCCAGCATCACCTGGCGTGGAGATGGGCGAGACCTTCAGGAACTTGGGGACAGTGACAAGTGAGGGCCCAGCCCCAAACTGGGTGAGGTAGAAGGGAGCAGAGTGAGAAAAGCTGAGAGTCAGACCTCCTGGCCTCTTCTGGGCAGGAGGCGCTCCTGCTCACAAGGGTTGGGGAAGGGGAAAGGGAAGATGGGTCAAGGATGGCAGGAAAGCAGTGAAGGTACACCTGTGGCCCTGTCTAGGTACTTCATAGAGGCTGGGCGCCTGGTCATCCAGAGCCTGGACTACAGTGACCAGGGCAACTACAGCTGTGTGGCCAGCACTGAGCTGGATGAAGTGGAGAGCAGGGCACAGCTCTTGGTGGTGGGTAAGTTCTAGATAAGTACTGGGCACAAAGGGTACGTGTTCTGATGCCCACCACGCTCAGGTTCCTGTTGCTGGGTCCTATTAAGCCGGGAGCGGGTAGATGGCTCTCCAGGAGGCCAGAGAATCCAGCCTCCCTGACAATCCACCTTCTGTGACCCTCAGGGAGTCCTGGACCGGTGCCTCACCTGGAACTTTCCGACCGCCACCTGCTGAAGCAGAGCCAAGTGCACTTGTCTTGGAGCCCTGCTGAAGACCACAACTCCCCTATTGAGAGTAAGAAACCTGAGTGTGACATCCTCCCAATAGCTCCTGCCAGCCCTCCCTTCTCCTGGGAACCTCCCTTCTCCCAGGCCCATAGTCTCAGGACTGCTTGCCTTCCTGGGGCACATACTTGTTTTCCGGGGGCTCATGTTCCTTCATGACACCCACCTTTCTGTTGCCCTCCTCACTCAGCTACACTCCTGTTACTACTGTTCATTTCTTGGCAGAATATGACATTGAATTTGAGGACAAGGAAATGGCTCCCGAGAAATGGTACAGTCTGGGCAAGGTGCCAGGGAACCAGACTTCTACCACCCTCAAGCTATCACCCTACGTCCACTACACCTTTCGGGTCACTGCCATCAACAAATATGGCCCTGGGGAACCCAGCCCCATTTCTGAAGCTGTAGTCACACCTGAGGCAGGTGAGCCAGGGCAGCCACCTGGAAGGGGTGCCGTCACTGGGGCTCAGGGCCCTAAAGGGAGAGGGGAGTCTGTAGAGGTGTTAGGCCTGTGTTGTCCACTTGCAGAGCTCCAGGGACAGCAGGGAGGTCTGTGCTGTGCCCTTGGGGCAGCTGGCTTATTGCTTCAGGGGCCGGAATGGGCAGTTTGTTCCGTCTCCTTGCTGCAACACTGATAGATTAAAACATTACTTTCTAGCCCCAGAGAAGAACCCTGTGGATGTGAAAGGAGAAGGGAATGAGACCAACAATATGGTCATCACATGGAAGGTGAGGGTCTGTAACCTGATTTGCATCCTGGACATGAGGCCAGGACCCAGGCATTTGCTGTCCGTTGACTATGCTAAAGAGGAAACCAATGCCTGGGGGAATATCTGGACTGGGGGCAAGGCATAGAGGTGGGAGCTCTTGGCCAATGGAATTCTTTTCTGGTGACCTCCAGCCCCTCCGGTGGATGGATTGGAATGCCCCTCAGGTTCAGTACCGTGTGCAGTGGCGCCCACAGGGCAAGCAGGAAACCTGGAAGGAACAGATCGTGAGCGACCCCATCCTGGTGGTGTCCAACACTTCTACTTTTGTGCCTTATGAGATCAAAGTCCAGGCAGTCAACAACCAGGGCAAGGGCCCTGAGCCCCAGGTCACCATTGGCTACTCAGGGGAGGACTGTGAGTACTAGACTTGCCCACACCTAGGGGGAAGTCCTCATGTGTGTCAACCTGTGCAATGCACATAGCGGCCCACTTCTCACTTGCCATTGCCATTCCCCACCTCTCTGTACTTCATTGTACGATTCCTGCAAGTCTGGACATGCTTTCTCATAGCCAAGGCCATGTGAGGAAATTCTGGACAGCTCACACTGCTGTGTTTCTGCCATCAGCAGCCGGTATTCCAGTTGGATGAACCAGCACTGTTTTTGACACCATTTCCTCCCTCTGGTCCAAGGATTTGGTACAGGCTGAGCATCCCTCATCGAAAAATCCCAACTCTGAGATGTTCCAGAAGCTAACCCTGTGTGGGAAATTCCACACTTGACTTTTTGTAATGGATCAGTGAAAGCATAGGCTCTCTAAAAATAGTGTAGTATATGTAGGTCTGGGATACAGCTCAATTGGAAGTGTGCTTGCCTAGCATACATGAAGGCTAAATTGGATCCTCTGCACCACATAAACCAGGTGTGGTGGCAAATACTTGTAGTCCTGGCACTCAGGAAGTAGAGGCAGGAGGATCAGAAGTTCGAGGTCAACCTTGCTTACATTCTGACTTTGAGACAACCTGGGTTCCATGAAACTTGTCTCTAAAAAAGAAAATATTGTAGTATAGAGTTGAATGTGTCATTCCAGAACTTGGGAGGAAGATCATAAGGTACAGGCTACCCTGGGATACATAGTGAGTTCCAAAACAGCCTGGACTACAGAGGGAGACCCTGTCTCAAAGAAACAAATGTGTGTGTGTGTGTGTGTGTGTGTGTGTGTAAAATTACTTTCACGCTACATCCATAAGGTGTATATGAAACATATATAGTCATGGGTGTGTCTCCACGATGAAGTCTTTGCTTAGCATATGTGAGGCCCTGGGTTCCATCCTAGCACCATCAAAAAAAAAAAAGTCTTTGGATTTAGACTTGGAACCCATCCCCAAGACATCTCATTATGCATCTGAAAATATTCTAAAATATGAAAGAATCCAATGCACTTCTGGTCACAGCATATCAGATAAGAGATAGCCACCCATGCAAGTTTCCTTGTCTGGAGCATCATCGGATGGTAACTTTGAGAGCCAGTTTTTGTGATTTCTCTGTGTAATTTCATCTCTTTCTCCCTGGAGAACCCTTGAGACCATGCACCTGCCCCATTCTTCACTTGGGGAAGGTCTCTGGGCTGGCTTGTGGGCCTAGGTGAGGGCTGTGCTTTCTCCAAGTTTCTGGCTGTTCCAGATCCCCAGGCGAGTCCCGAGCTGGAAGACATCACAATCTTCAATTCGAGCACAGTGCTGGTCAGGTGGCGGCCTGTGGACTTGGCCCAGGTCAAGGGTCACCTGAGGGGATACAACGTAAGGGCTCAGGATGTGGGGGCAGGGAGAGCTAAAGAGGGGGGTGACAGGATTGAGGGTGGGGAGTCTGCCATCTGAAAGCAACTCTCCTGGAAGTCCTCGGGTTGGGGAAAAAGTGTTCCTGATAAGGGTCGTGGGGAGTGTGTTAGAGGTCCCTTGGATGACATCCACTCTTACCTGCAGGTGACATACTGGTGGAAGGGCAGTCAAAGGAAGCATAGCAAGAGGCATATCCACAAAAACCACATGGTGGTGCCCGCCAATACCACCAGTGCCATCATCAGTGGCTTGCGGCCCTACAGTTCTTACCACGTGGAGGTGCAGGCTTTTAATGGGCGGGGTTTGGGGCCTGCCAGCGAATGGACCTTCAGCACCCCAGAGGGAGGTGAGTCTGGCACCCCACACCTGCATCCGCCATCCCTTCTCCTCAGACTCAGGTGAGGACCTGCTGTTCTTCTGTGCTCCCACAGTGCCTGGCCACCCTGAGGCGTTACACCTGGAGTGCCAGTCGGACACTAGCCTGCTATTGCACTGGCAGCCGCCACTCAGCCACAATGGAGTGCTCACTGGCTACCTGCTCTCCTACCACCCCTGTGTGTGCAGTGTACCTGGTGGGGAGGCTGGGAGACCCAGGAAGGACCAAAAGCCAGCCCGTCACTTGTCTCCACAGTGGATGGGGAAAGCAAGGAGCAGTTATTCTTCAACCTTTCGGACCCAGATCTCCGAACTCACAATCTGACCAACCTCAACCCGGATCTGCAGTATCGCTTCCAGCTTCAGGCCACCACCCAGCAGGGCCCTGGTGAGGCCATTGTGCGTGAAGGAGGCACCATGGCCTTGTATGGTAAGCTGGAGAGAGAGCTTTTGGGGTCTTAGTTTTCAGGGTTCCCCCTGCATTGGACTGGGGAGGGGGCTGGCTGGGCAGCTGAGTTCAGGAGAGTGTGTTCAAGTGGTCTAGCACTCCCACAGCCTGTGCTCCTACATTCCCCAGGGAAGCCAGATTTTGGCAACATCTCGGCCACAACAGGTGAAAACTACAGTGTTGTATCCTGGGTCCCTCGGGAGGGCCAGTGTAATTTCAAGTTCTACATCTGGTTCAAAGCCCTGCCAGGTGAGCACAGAGGTAGCCCTGGGGCAGGGAGCCGGGGCTGTGCACTGGAGGTATCCCCAGCCCTCCTGCTTAAGCCCCGCTGTCACCATGCTTCATCTGTGCAGAAGGGAAGGTGAGCCCTGACCGCCAGCTTCAGCCCCAATATGTCAGCTACAACCAGAGCTCCTACACACAGTGGGACCTGCAACCTGACACCAAGTATCAGATCCATCTGATGAAGGAGGACGTGGTTCTGCGCCGAATGGATGTGAAGACCAATGGCACTGGTGAGGTCCTGGGGCCACCACTGTCTACCGGGAAGCCCTGGGTGCAGCTGCTTGGTTTGTTGCATGTAGTCCTTAACAGCCATGACCCACTGCATGGCTCTTTTCACCTCCCAGAATCTGAGTGCACTTTGGCCAGTGTGCCTTTTCTTGTACTTCCTCCGTTCCTTCCCCTCTGCTACTATGGCACTTCCTGGCCCCAGAGGAGACCCTGTAGCTCCAAGTGAGGCCTGAGCACCAGGCCCTAGCAGTCTGCACGTCCAGCCGAGGAGTGTTAGCATGCTCCTTGGCAGCACAGTGCACCCCAGGGCCTGGGCATTGTCTGTTTCCCACTCTGTATCCTCAGGCCCTGTGCAAGTCCCTACTACAAGTAGTTTCGCATCTGAGGGCTGGTTCATTGCCTTTGTCAGCGCCATCATTCTCTTGCTCCTCATCCTTCTTATCCTGTGCTTCATCAAACGCAGCAAGGGTGGCAAGTATTCAGGTAACCTTGGAATCCATATTTGGGCTCAGAGTGAGGGTGCTGGAGCTGAGGGGAGAGAGGACCCACCTGGTCCCAAAGACCCGAGCTTGTGGGTGACAGTGCAAACATGAGCATGGGAGTGGAGAGCAGGCCAGAGGCCCGAGGTGCCTTCCTCCCAGACCGGGGCTGCAGTGAGCTAGGTGGATCATGCTGAGGGCTCCTTGCCACTTGGTGCTGCCGAGACAGTGCTGGGGGTCTTCAGCACAGAGGGGCCCAGAGTCTAGGCTCAGGCTGGGCAAGAGAATAAATTCACTGCTCTGGTGTGTCTGTAGTGAAGGACAAGGAGGACACTCAGGTGGACTCTGAGGCCCGGCCCATGAAAGATGAGACCTTCGGTGAATACAGGTAAGCAGGAACAGGGGCGGGGGTTGGCTGAGCTCTGTCTGGCCTTCACTTCTTACCCTCTCTCTGTTTCTTCTCTGTGCTTCGGGGTGACTTCAGGTCTCTGGAGAGGTAAGGTGGGGCAGTGGAGTTGCCCAGTCAGAGCCCAATAACGGAGGGATCCCACTTTCCCTTTGGTGGCCCAGGAGCTCTTATTTTGGGGAGAAGTCAACAGACCCAGCTATTCTTCCAATGCTAACACACTAGCTGCTGGACTGCCTGTTACTGTCCCAGTCACCCTTAGCCCTGAGAGGGGCCCCAGCAGCAGGCACAGGCCATGTGGCATCACACGTACAGCCTGAGCTCCCAGGAGTATGCCAAGGATGTGTCCTGGAATTGTCCATTGGGGCAGGCAAATAGAAGGCTGTGGGGATTTACCAGAGGGACCTGCCAGGATGACCTCCTGTGGTCTGTCGGAGCTCTGCAACACATCTACTCATACTCCACCCTCTACTCCTGCAGTGACAATGAGGAGAAAGCCTTTGGCAGCAGCCAGCCATCTCTCAATGGAGACATCAAGCCTCTGGGCAGTGATGACAGCCTGGCCGATTATGGGGGGAGTGTGGATGTCCAGTTCAATGAGGATGGCTCCTTCATTGGCCAGTACAGTGGCAAGAAAGAGAAGGAGGCAGCAGGAGGCAATGACAGCTCAGGGGCCACCTCTCCTATCAACCCTGCAGTGGCCCTAGAATAGTGAGGTCCAATCAGGTGAGGCAGGCTGAGCTTGGCCCAGGGCCAGAGGTGCAGGAGAGCCAGAGGCCAAGACACCTGGCTAATGCACCAAGCCGCTGACCTAGGGATTGAGGCCCCTCCCTCTTTCCACAGCCTGCCTGTGGGAGGCTTGACTGGGACAGAGGAGAGAAACTGTGGCCTCAAAGTCCCCTTCTTACCACCTGCTACCCTCTTTATTGCCAAAACCCAGCTGCACCCCTTCCTGGGCATATGCTGCTTTGCCCTAGCTCGGGGCAGTTCACCCCCACATCAGGGATCTTCAGGTGCTGCCTTGCCAACCTGTTTGGGCAGAGAGGCGGTGGTTTCACGGAGAGGACAGAGGGGTAACCTTCTGCAGCATCTCTGACATGCCATCCTTCTCATTCCCTGACTGGGAACAGGCATGGTGGGTCTCCTCAGGACTAGGTTGGCACCTCTTTTTTCTCCAGCCACTTTCTGGATAGCCTGACAGCCAACAGAACTGTCCCCACCATCTTCCCCCTTTTCTTTGCCATTTCTGCTCCAATCAGGATGGGTACCTGGGCAAACTGGCCACCAGTGCAAGGGAGGCCATCTGTAGAGCCCAGAGTGTCCCTTTCCCCACACCATTAGCACAGTAGGTCCACACCATTAGCACAATAGGTCCACACCCCTCTTCCACCATCATTCCACCTTTCAGGAGCTCCACATCCACATGTTGCACATGCTGCCTTCGGTACCCACCAGACAACATCGAGTGGCCTCTGTCACTGCCGGGGGCAGGCAGACCTCCTCCCACAGCTTCTCCCAGCTACCATCATATCCCAGGACCCCTTAGCAACCCTGCCTGCCCCCAGTTCTTGTCCTCAGCCCCCTCCCCGTCCCCCACCTTGGGAATGTAAATACACCGTGACTTTGAAAGTTTGTGCCCTTGCCCTTTCCCCATATGCCACTAGTGTGTAGGCAGATGTCTGAGTCTCTAGGTGGTTTCTCGGTTTTATAGCAGTTAGCTTTGATGATCCCACCCCAGGAAAAATAAAAACAGACAAAAAAGGAAAAAAAAAAGCAAAGATTGGTTTTCCCAGCACTGCTGTGTGCTTGCTCAGCAGCTGTGGCCTCCCTGTATGCCTTTGCTTGGTCTGTTGATGAACCCTCTACAAAACACAAAAGTATATATATATATGTACATAGTATCAGAATTATAACAGGCAAATAAAAACCTGGAAATGAAGAGGACCTTTTCATCATTTTACCGAGCGAGCATGTACCACCCTACCCCTGTCCCAAACTGTGAAAGCACCATCCCTGGGCAGGGCATGCCTGGAGGTCTCTGGTTAGCCCTGCCCCACAGTCCCCATCCTTTCTTTCATTTCTTCCTGAAGCCTGGTCATTCCACGATGCTGCAAGTCCTTATTGTCTGCCCCCTGGGGTGTTGCTATCACACTGTCTGTGGGTTTTAGGGTCCTCTCTAGGCTGCTGGTCTCTTGACACAAGTTTTCGGTCTGGTCACAGTCAGGTCTTCTAATTCCTAAAGGAAGTAAACATGGAAGAAGAGTGTGACTGAGGCCCCCGAAGTCTTGGAGCCATAAGTCTTCAGCCTCCTGGCCAGTGTCTAGAAGCCTCTTCTTACCTAATGGGACATGGTAACCAAAAACACCTGCAAGTGTCCATCTGGCATCTGGTTTGGGTGAACCAGCATGTTGTGACCTGGTAGAGTCATCCTTAGAGTGTCCAGCCACCTAAAGCAATACAAAGCCCTCCCTCCCTCCCTTCTTCCCTTCCTTCCTTCCTTCCTCCCTCTATCTCTGACAGAGTCTCATTTAGCCCAGGCTGACCTCAAACTCAAGGCTGTCCTTGAACTCCTGATTCTTCTGCCTCCACCTCCGGAGTGCTGGGATTATAGGCATGCACGTTTTTTTTTCAGTCCTGAGATTTAGAACCTCCAACATATCAAGCAAAGAATGCTCTACCACAGAGATAGTCTTACTAAATTGCCCAACTGACCTTAGGCTCATTCTGTAGCCCAGAAGCACCTTGAACTTGTGATCCCCCTGCTTCAGCCTCTAAAGTAGCTGGGATTAAGGCTTGTACTAACAGACCCATTTGGGTTTGTTAAATTTTAAAACAGAATCTCAATTCTATAGCCTAAGGTATACTCAAATATGAACATCTGCCAGGCGCGGTGGTGCATGCCTTTAATCCCAGCACTAGGGAGGCAGAGGCAGGTGGATCTCTGTGAGTTTAAGGCCAGCCTGTTCTACATAGTGAGTTCCCAGCCAGCTGGGGCTATAAGGAGACCCTGTTTGAAAAAGACCCAAAAAACCAAAACAAACTGAAGCATCCTCCTGCCTCAGCCTCCAGAGTGCTGAAATTACAGGTGTCAGCTACGTCCTCTTTAACTGAGCGAATGAAGGCTTCACAAGAAAATGTCTTCCCTATGGTTCCACCACCAGCCCAGCCCCAGGCTTCTTCACTGAGGTATCAATTCCCCTCCACACCCTGTGACTCAGTACAGTGTTTCTCTCCTGCCAGCTCACTTCTGCTTTTCTGTAGCTGTGGGTCACCTGTCCCTGTTGCATCAGTTCGGTCAGCAAACTGCTAGAACAGCCTCTGTCACTACAGTTCCTACTCTTAACACCACATGCCTTCCAGTCCTTGTCTGTTTCTCTGCTGCTGTCCACAGAGAACCCCTCAGATGTGGCTACTCTTCTTATCCTCACTAGCTCTCCACCTGTTACAGCATCTGTCCACTGTCCCCCAACATCTGTTTGCTGGCTCTCCCATAATAAAAGTCTTTTGGCTCAGGCCCATGGCAGTTCAGCTGACAATCCTTTCTCCAACTTCTCCTCTGTGGAGGTGAGGTGTGGCTTGGGAGTGTGGGAGCAGAACACAAATGTGACCTTTGAACCACGAGGAGCTAGCAGTGGAAGCCACATGTTAACAAAGGCAGAAGCACGCCTTTGTTCAGCAAGCCTCCAGGCTTGGGCTGCCTCCCTGGATCTTTGAAAATTTGACACATTTTTTTGTATGTGTACATGTTCATATATGTGTTCATATCTGTGCTATTATAGGCCAGAGTCTACACTTAGTCTTCCTCAATCACTCTCCACCCCATCTATCTTCTGTGTGTGTGCATATATATATATATATATATATCTGTGTGCAAGTAATGAAGCCCATGTGCATAGGCAGAGGCCAGAGGACGGTATCTGGTATTCTACTCCATCACTCTGCACCTTATTCCCTTGAGACAGAGTCTCTCACTGAATCTAGAGCTAGGATGGCAGCCAGCAAGCCCCAGTAATACTCCTGCCTCTGCACCCTTGGTGCTGGGATTATAGGTGTGTATATAGGTGCTAGGGATTTGAACTCAGGTCCTTGTGCTTGTGAAGCAAGTGGCTCTTACCCACTGACTCATCTCTCTACTCTCCACTTATTTTTTGAGACAAAGTGTCTCACTGAACCTAGAATTCACTAATTCAGTTAGACTGGCCGGCTGACAAGCCCCAGGGACCCACCTGTTTCCAATTCTCCAGTACTGCGATTACAAATATATGTTACTTTTTTTTTCCTACTGGAAATCTAAACTCAGGTTCTTGTGCTTATATAGCAAACAGTTTACTGACTGAGCCATCTCTCCAGCTCCATACTTTTTTAAATTTTATTTGTTTTTATTTTATGTGGATGATTATTATGCCTGGATGTGTCTAAGTGCACCCATGTCATGCAATGCCTGCAGAGGACAGAAGAGGGCGGTGGATCCCCTGGAACTGGAGTTACAGACAGTTGTTAGCTGCCACATGGGTTCTGGGATTTGATTTTTTAAAATTTATTATTTTATTTTATTTTATTTTATTTTTGGTGTTTTTGAGACAGGGTCTTCCTATAGCCCCAGCTGTCCTGGAACTCACTATGTAGACCAGGCTGGCCTTGAACTCACAGAGATCCGCCTGCCTCTGCCTCCCAAGTGCTGGGATTAAAGGTGTGCGCCACCACATCTGGCTTATTATTTTTATTTTATGTGTATGCATGTATTGCCTGCATGTAGGTAAGTCCACCCATGTTGTGCAATGCCCTAGGCTGTCGGATTCCCTGGGACTGGAGTTATGGACAGTTGTTAGCTGCTATGTGGGTGCTGGGATTCGAACCTGGGTCTTCTGCAAGAACAACCAGTGTTCCTAACTGCTGAGCCATCTCTCCAGCCCCAGGTTCTGGGATTTGAACTTTGGTCTTCTGCAAGAACAGCCAGTGCTCTTAACCACTCTGCAGCCTCTTGTTTTTATTTTTCTTGATGCTAGGACTCAAACCCAAGACCTTGCACTTGCTGAGCAAGCAATCTGCCACTGAACTAATCCTCAACTCCCAAACTTTGTTGTTTTTTATTTTAATTTTAATTTTTTTATTTTTTATTTATTTTTTGGTCTTTTTGAGACAGGGTCTCCCTGTAGCCCCAGCTGTCCTGGAACTCACTATGTAGACCAGGCTGGCCTTGAACTCACAGAGATCCGCCTGCCTCTCCCTCCCGAGTGCTGGGATTAAAGGTACGTGCCACCACACCCAGCCTTTGTTTTTATTTTTATATATATATATGTGTGTGTGTGTGATTTTATGTGTATGAATGTTTTGCCTTATGTGTGTAAGTGCACCCATGTTGTGCAATGCCTGAGGAAGTCAGAAGAGGTCATCAGATCCCCTGGAATTGGAGTTACGGGTGGTTATTAGCTGCCTTGTGGGTGCTGGGATTCAAACTCAGGTCTTTTGCAAGAGCAGCCAGTGTTGTTAACCACTGAGCCATCTCTCCAGTCTCTCGTTTTTATTTTGTAAGTGCTGGAAATGGAACCCAGGGCCTTGTGCATATTCAACAAGGCCTCTGACACTGAGTGATATCTCCAACCCAACACACTTTGATTTTGTTTTGAAACGGGATCTCCCTGTAGCCTCAGCTGGCCTGGAACTTTTTATGTAGACCAGGCTATCCTCGATCTCACAGAGATTCACCTGCCTGTCTCCTGAGCACTGGCATTAAAAATGTGTGACACCATACACAACCACACTTTGACTTTTATAGCAATTTTAGTTTTATAGAAAACTTGAGGGGAAAATAAGGAGTGCCTTTCTGCCCCTCCACCTCCAAAATGTTCCCTGTCATCTTGCATTTGTCATAGTTGGTGGCCCTACACTGAGCCCCATAGGCTCATGACCATATAAAATGCAAAATGAATTTAGTCCAACTTTAAAAGTCCCCGTAGTAATTAGTAGACTCAATACTATTCAAAAAAACACAGACCAGGGGCTGGAGAAGTAGGTGGCTCAGCAGTTAAGAACACTGACTGGTTTGCAGAAGACCCAGGTTCGAATCCCAGCACTCACATGGCAACTAACAACTGTCCAAAACTCCAGATCCAGGGGATCCAATGGCCTCTTCTGTCCTCTGTGGGCATTGCACGACAAGGGTGTACTTACCTACATGCAGACAATACATGCATACACATAAAATAAAAATAAAAAATAATAAATAAAATATTTTTTTTAAAGTCCACAGTCCAAAGTCTCTACATTTTATATGGTCATGAGCCTAGGGGGGTCAGGGGGTGGAATGTGATGGTTTGAATGAAAACATCCCCCATAGGCTCTAAGTATTTGGACATTTTGTCCCCAGATGGTGGCGCTGTTTGGGAAGATCTTAGAAGATGTGGCTATCCTGGAGGAAGCACGTCACTGGGGGTGGGCTTAGACAGTTCTTAAGCCTTGCCGGATCTCCAGTTGCTCTCTTGCTTCCTGTGCCTAAAGAGCAGTTAGTCTTAAAGAGGGGCAGGGGTCTTGGGAGTCCAGGGCAGGGGGCCAAGGAGGAGGGCTTCATATTCCCCCCTTTTCTTTGTAACTTAGAGAGGACCCAATCTTGGGTTCAGGTTAGGGTCCCTAATGAGGGATTCTAAGGGCTGATACTGGGACCTCAGGACCATGAGTTGTACTGTATTTGCCCATTCTCTAATAAAGGCAATCAGCCTGTTGATGATACATGGCCCAATAGTTAACATTAAGAGGAGGAGGATTATGGGTCCGGCTAAGGCTGAGAGCAAGGTGGTGAGCCAGGGAGACCAATTAAAGAGTTGTTCGTACCACCCAGGGTCCTTTCCAGCGAGGTTCCAAGGTCTCTTGGTGGTGTCTGCAGACGTAGACCCGATTGCGAGGCTGGTAGTTGTGTGGGGTAGAAGGGGGAGCAGTCTCATA